ACAACAATTGTAGAAGTGATCAAAACAAAGAAGCTAAATACGCACTTTATAAAGATCAAGGGTCACTCAGGTGATATTTTCAACGATTTTGCAGATTTAAAAGTAAAGGAAGAGTCCAAATTAACAGAGTACCTAAACCCAGAAGTATTACATACGAAAGGCCATAAAATAAGATACACGTGGGAAGGTAAATTAGTTGAAAAGCCTATTCGCTTTTTCGTTAAAATGATAGGAAAAGTGTTATTGAAAGCAGAGTAGGCTTTCTTACATAATATGCATGATGAAACCCATCAAGAAAAAAAGAGTACTCAATCCTGGTCTATGCTACGTAATACAATAAGAGGTGGGACCAAACAACGAAACTATACTTTCAAATCAAATGCATTACAGCTCTTCAAAACAAAGTGTATAAACAACATGCTTCTGGTATTCGAAAAACTCAATTGGAGAAGGCCAGAAACATACAAGACAAATAAATGTATTATATGTAAAAAAAAAAGAAGGAGAATGTAAAATACTTGGTGAGCTATGAAACTTCTTTGAACCTATTCCACGATCTAGAGGAGCAAGTAGTAAAAGCAATCTTACTTGAATTAAAAAAGGTAGAAAGCATGAAGACAACCAAAGAAGAAGTCTTAACAATGCTAGAAAAAAAATTCCAAGCTAAAGAATTATATAGAAGAGAAAGATAGATTAGAGGCCTAATCACAAAAGAAGACTTTGATGAGTTGAGACCTCTTTTCAACTCAAACAGCCAAGCAAAAAACTTTCTAGATAGACTTTGGAAGAATTGGATAAAAGAGGTTCATGAGAGAATTTGGGTTGCAAGATGTAAACTAGTACAGAAATGAAAGAAGGAAAATGAGATCACACCAAAAGATAAAAGAAAATCATATGAAAAGACAAGAATAAAAAAAAAGAAAAAAAAACCACCTGATAAACGTATTAAAGAAAAGGAAAAAGATAAAGATGTAGACGAGAATAAAAGATGAGATTCAATTTTAGAAATAACTAAAAAGAAGATTTTAAGGTGGATTGAAGAAGAGCAACGGACAGATTGGTAGAAAAATAATATGTAGTCTTAACAGGCGGTAAGATCCAGCTAGTGATGTATTATCAAAGCCAATTGCAGGATAAAATAATACAGAGATGAATCTTACTATAGCAGGTCGTATATAGGTACTCAGTGAGCAACTGAGTGAGTTTCCACTTGTAATTTAGGTACTATAGAGTATAACTCTGTAGAAAATTTCAATAGTTTAGATAATTATTACAAAGCCTAATAAAGTGAAGACAGGACTGCTGAATTTATTAAAAAAAAAAAAAAAATTTTGAGCAAATTTGATTAATTAGTTATTGAGATATTTTAATTTAAAAATTAAAAAAAATTTATTAAAAACAATTTAAATTTTAAAAAATATAAATTATAAACAAATTTATAGCAATTTTCTAAACAAATTTGCCTAGAATTGCATATAGTTTATTTTTTTTATTTTTTTTTAACAGTCATGCCTTTATTTACAAATCTCGTATAACTATTATACGTTAATACAACAATTTTTTATGAATGTGATTCTATCCAATAAAAGCTACCCAAGCATACTGCCCAAGTCAACCTGTTATAACAACTGTTCGCTTTTCTCGGGATCCAAAACTTTTTAAGGATTTTGTACCATAAAGATACTTCCTTGATACTTCACTAGCTGTTGTATGGCCTATTCATGACTGTTAAACTTTTCCTTTTAATTCTTCCTTCTTCTCAAAGAGCATGAGACAAAAAAAGAAATTTTCAAAAAGGTTGTATGAAAACAAAAGAAAAAGAAAAAACAGAAAAGAAAGAAAAAACAGGTACAAATTTCAAAAAAAAAAAACAGAAAGAAATATAACAATCTATGAAGCACTATTATAGCCTGTGCCAGGCAAGTATAAAAATTATATAACAAATGTAACATTTGTATATCTATACTGTAAAGCTTCGCCTTAACATTAAATTTACTTTCCGACCTTTCTACCGACTCTGGATAGCTCCGTTGCTTGTCTTAATTTGTATCTCGAGCCAGATGCTGCTATCATCTAAGGACTTATGTCTCAAGCCACCTGCTGCTATAATTAGAGTTCCCAGGCTGAGTCCCTTAAAGTAGCGCCATATTTGTCCGTAAACAAACATGTGGTTGCATTCCGCTAATCTGTCCAGATTTGGGAAGTAAATAATGCCGATCTTTTGGAGGGGGTAAGCCAAATCCCAACTTTTTGTCAAATTTTTGGAAAACCAACGAGAGGGAGAGTAGGAGTAAAAGAGAAACTACTTGACAAAGTAAAAAAGTGTGACTTGAGGAAAAGCAAAGCCTTGTTGTTTCTCTGTGTTCTTCTTTTGAAAGTAATAGCCTAAGTAATTTCATCGATAGACAAACTCTTGTCTTTTCACCAAAATTTTGTATCCAAGAGTGCACACCTTCAGCCAGTTATCTTGTATACTAATGCTTTTGGCTTGTATGTTGAATGCACAACTTATAAAGAAGTCCCAGAAGAGAAGTACTGTTGATCTCTAGACAAACTGCTATGTTAGGCCATGACTCTCCAACAAAAGTTCTGTTTTTCTTTAGTAAGAATTTTGATCCAAATGATCGTTGGGAAAAGTTGTTTTATTTATTTTTGTAATTGCTTATAGTTTAAAAGATATAATTATACTATACTATGTATATATATACAGTAATATAATATAACTAGAAATTCTATATCAGACACAGATTGCACATTTGCCAGAGTGGTGAAATCAAATTCAACTAGTAGAATTAAAAAACTGGGGTAAAATTCTGAGAAAGAAAGCAAGCGAAGAAGAGAGTAAAAAGAAGGAGAGAGAAATTCAGGAAAAAATAGAACTGAGATTCGGTATGATGAAAAAAAACAAAAAAAAATGCTCCAAAGCCTTCTAAATAGACTATATAATAAGGTCACAATTGATAGAGTACTGGTAGGAGAAAATTCTAGAGTCCATAATCTAGAATTAATTAATGATGAAGAAGGTATAAAATGACAAGTTATTTCCCATTTTGAAAAACAATTCAGAAAAAAAACCAGAAATTTAAGGAGATAAAAGCAGAGTGGAAGGAAGAATATAAGCCAAAAAAAAAATTGACCCTGGAGTGTATACAGGGATTACAGCTCCTTTCACATTAGAAGAATGAGTACTAGTTTTGAGTAAAACTAAAAATGATACAGCACCTAGGATATCAAATATTGGATATATTCTTTTTAAGAAACTATTACCCAAAGTGATTGAGAGAATTTTAAGGTTGATGAATGCGATTCTCGAACAAAGCAAGATCCCAGACAAGTGGAAACTCAGGCAAATATATCTAATCCTAAAAAATAGCTTCTGGGAATACAATTTGAGCAACATGAGACCTATAGTGTTGTTAAAAACATGTAGAAAAATTCTAACACGAATGCTTTAGTTGAGGTTGAATAAAGTTTTAAGCAAAAATAATATATTGAAGGAAGCAAACTTCGCAGGTCTGTCCGGAGAAAGTACATCAACCTCTATACATGTAATAAACAATATAATAGAAGAAGCTATAGAAAAGAAAAGGAAGCTTTGGGTTATGTTTCAAGATATGAAAAAAGCCTTCGATTTAGTTAGTATAGTCTCATTAAAGAAAGCTTTAGAAAGAATTAAAATACCAGCAAAAATAATTGAGATAATATCAGAGTTATATGAGAACAGGCAGCTTAGTATTATGACAAAGTTTGGAAATACAGATTTTATAAAAGCAGAGGATGGTATAGATCAAGGAGAGGTACTTTTCTCTCTGATTTGAAGAATTTTCTACGATCCTTTGTTATGTAGAGTACAAAGAGCCAAACTTGGTTATGAAATGCAAAACATAGAACCTTTTATAAAATCAGGAGACAATAATATTAGAGTTGGTGTATTGGCGTATGCAGATGACACAACCTGGTTAACAGATAGTCAAGAAAATATGCAGAGTACAATTAACATCATACAAGAATTTTACAAGCTAAATGACATTGAAATAAACTTCAACAAAACTGAACTCGTAGTGCTGAAAGTGGGTAAAAGAAATCATTTAAAGGTAGGGTGTACATAGATCATTTCCCATATGGTCACCATGGTAGTACATAGTAAATAAAACTATGTTACTAATAAAACTTTTTAATGTTTTGGTTGATCGTTATCAAAATTTTACAGTATATAATTTAGAAAAGTTTATTTATAATAGTAAAGTTATAGAGTATAAATTGATTTTAAAAAAATTAATTTCGCATATAACTACATTTGCCTAGATCACTATATGTTTTTTTCTAGGTAGTACAAAGAATTACTAATTCTGATTGGTCGAATCATATAATGTTTACATGTAAATCATATGACATCATATAATATTAGTTACACAAAGTTGATCTACAATATTAACCAAATTAAATGATGATAATTAATCATTTAGAAAGAACATACAAAATAAAAATATTTATCTGACAAACTCATATGATCATGAAAAACTTTCTTTCTGTTATTTTTTTTACGTATTATGATGTAATTATGTTTTTCCAATATTCAAAAAAAAAACTCAGCGAGTGACTCCTTACCAATTATGATCATAAATTTTCGGATAATGTATACTTATTTATTAGCTCGTACATAATTAAACCTTTATATAATATGAAATTAAACATTCTTTTCTCTTTAAAACATAACAGCACTAAGGCCATGCAAATAAAATTAGTTGTTTCTCATTATATATAAAGATTAATAAGCATACGGGACCCGGCTGTTTTTGTTAGATATAAAAAAATGTTATATAAATTTTTATAAATATAATTTTACATAAAAGCCATAATTAAAGTTTTACTTACATATTAGGTATGTATATATATATATACATACGTACGTACGTACTATAAGATTAGCCAAATTTATTTACTCAATAAAAAACAAAAACAATAGCAAAATGCTTATTTATTGTATTTGTTATCATAAATTATTTCCGATAAAGTAATTGAGGCTCTATATTTTCTGTACTATACCAGATTGAACTTGTTATTTTGTATAAGAAAAGATATATGTACATACATATGAATGCAAAACTATTATGAGGCGTGAAAGTGTGTAATTGCGCATGCAAGGTAGATATTCGTTGAAATTCAAAAAGGAAATTTCAACAATACTACTATATTATCAATTATTGGTTGAATTTCCTCTTTGAACTTTAGCACATATCTGACAATATACATAATGACGTAAGCACTAGCAATCAAAAGTATAAAAATCAAAGCAACCTTTATCAGCATTTCTATAGTTTTTAGCACAATAAATCTTTTTACCCTTCATAGTAATTTTATAGTAATAAGGGCTTCAATTTTTAATTTGGTGCAATTATTTTTTCTTACACAATTCAATTTGACCTAAAGTAAATATCTATCACTATGTATTTGTCTATTTGTGAATAAGACTCCCAGGTTTTCCTCTCATGGTATGATGAAATATTTTTCGACTTACAATTATTTTATTGTTATGTAAACATAATTATACTTACCAAAATTGTATAGGTACCAGCTTGTTGTGAGTGTTCCGGATCCTGTGCTCATCAGTTTATGTTATAATACCTTAATCACGTATGCACTATGCACGAGACTTACTAGAATGCAAAATTGTCTTTATTTTTTTAATCTTCAGTCTGTTGACTGTTCAATACAAAAAAATTATAGCACTACATTTTTTCACACTATGCCAACAATAAATATACAAATCATTCAAGAATCAAAAGTATTATTTGGCTGGAAGGTTATACCAGTACAAACTGATATTACAGTTGAACAATTTTTTTTTGAAGTTTCAGAAGAAAATATATCAAATTATCATTTAGATTTAGTCGAAAAGATCGAGGCTTGATGTGGACAATCAAAAACTACGATTAATCAAAATATTGACCTTGCATGTAATTTGTGGGAGGTTGTATTAAATTACGGAAAACATTTTGTTTTTTGATTACTTACAACACAAACAACCTTACCAAATCGCCAATATACCAATTCTTTTGAAATTATGTTTAACACTCAAAATTCTATTACACTTCCAACATGAAAACCTAGCGCAAAACTAAATAAAAAAAGAACAACTGCAAAGTGATATAGTAGTGTGGATCAAAAAAGAAAACGGTGGTTGGATAGGGCCAAATATGGCTGAGACAGTTGGCAAACCATTCATTCAAGATTTAACCAATATATTATGGTACATAGATGGATGTAATAGCGATACATTCACACAATAATACAACTTACCAAAAGTCTTTGAAGACTTCATGGGTTACAACAATCTACAACATTACAAATGCACCTGATCTAGATTTAACGTTGAAGAGCTTAACGAATATAGTGAATGTCTTCTCAAATATGCTACGCACCTGTAGATGACAAAATCACCATTTTCAACATTTTTCAAAAAACTAATAATAAAGCTCGGTGAAGACCTTTCTAAATATGCAGAGTATCTTGTCTACAAACGTATAGCGACGTCACAAAACCAAAAACTTGATCAACCTGTAATTAATGAATGCAATAATGGCCAACTAAAAATATTCAAGGCCAATGAAAAATGTAAATTAGAAAATGCTTTAAAATATAGAAATCTTTCATCAGCATTACAAGAAAAACAATACTAGCAGCCAATTTTGGCTGATGATTTCTGCTCTTCAATATCACGAGTATAAGTATTTATATGCTATATACTAAAAAAATAAAATAAAATAAAAAGTAAAAAAAATAAAAAAAAAGCAAAATAAAAAATAAAAAAAAATTAAAAACTTTATACCATAATAATATGCAGACAAAAGCATCGGTATTTAGCAAGCTTAGAAGTTAGATTTATATTTAAAGTCGGAATCTATACTTATTATCATGGAAACATTTGTAACACAACATATATTTGGCGTATAGATGAGGAAGCAGAGGAAGAAGAAGTGTCTAATCAACATTATAAAATCAGAACAGAAATAAAAAAATATTTTCCTACTTATCATATATGTTGTATGCATAGAGAATATATAGACATGTGCGACCTTCATCTAAACAAACAACCAAAGGCCAAATTACGACAGATATATAAAGAATTAACAAATGATATTTCAGCTGCTGAAACGACTAGTCAAAAAGAGGTTGATGAGCATGTCAAATTGGCTTTTGAACTAAATGATCCTAAAATAATCAATGATTTGAGAGAACTTAACGAAGGTCGGCCACGTAAATATAATGAATTTTGGGCGGTGGACAAAAAATTTTTGGAATGTACTGTGCAAGAAGCAGTAGTTGCTGTAGATGAAAGAAGATACGACCCAATTGTGTATCTCACACAAGCTATTTCAGTATGTGATCTTTGTGATCTTATAACAAAGAAAGTAAAAAAAATTAACCCACAAGCACCAATTCCATCAATCCAATGGCTTCGCCTACAATTCTGGTCAACTATACTGACAAATAAAAATAATTTACAGTATACTGGCATTTTGCCCATTAAATTTATGATCCAGACTCGTTAGCTTCAGTGTAAGCACATTGATTTACATTATACATCAGCGTTATTTTGATATTTAAAAGAAATGGCAATCATGTTTCGGGATGAGGCCCATCTTGTTTTTATGGATGATAAACACTACTGTAAAGTTGGTGAACCAGGTTATCCGGTCGCAGCTGTAGACCGTGGAAAAAGAGTGCTTGTTAATCATGACACAACATTTGTTGTTAGTGACCATGATTTTACAAAATGTGGAATTATTCCAAGTGTTACAATGTTATGTAACATACCTAAAACAATTGAAGAATCTTATTATACCAGGAGAGTTCACGTTGGGCTAAAAGAATGTATATTCAAGCTATCAAGTCCAATGCGACACATTGCAGAATTGTATAATATTTTAAAAAACCAAGATGATGACAAGCCTTATCTGTTTATTTACACTGATAGTGGGCTGGACCATCGAGTAAATTTTCTTTGTGTACAATTTGCATTAATTGCAATTTTTTTGACTTTGGACCTTGACTTGTTAGTTGCCATTCAAACGCCTCCAGAACACTCATGGAAGAACCCAGTCGAACGCATTATGTCTATTTTAAACCTTGGTCCGCAGTGTGTTGGCCTTATAAGAAGTGAAATGGATGAGAGTTTGAAAGTTTGGTGAAAAGCTGCAATACAATAGATGAAATTCATAATAATGCTAAAACAGTACCTTGACTTAAGGAAGGAATAATTAAAAGCTTACAACCTACTAAGGCCATTATGCAAGATATTTTTGAACGACTAGAGCTCAAGAGAGGAAATTTTTCTACGTTTAAATCAGCAACAGATCAAGAGATTGAACACTTGTGGGAGTCATTACTTGAATTGGATGATTTATTGGTACCTGAAGACACGTCTAGAAAGCACATTGAAAATAAGATCAGTTTCGATTTATAAAAAAATTTAATATTGTTGTAAACTCATTCATAAGTGCACGTATATATTTAGCCTCACATTCTTGAATTCATGAACTATTGTTGCTGGTCAAGAACTTATTTTTTTGAAATTAGAAAATGTCAAGCAGCTGAAACTGGTTGCACAATTTGCAGACCGCCATGGAGTAAATCTGATGTATTCATAAAATTGCAACCCTTTCCAGATCCTATTTCTAAAGCAAATGAAGATCACTATATGCCATTTTGTGAAATATATAGTAAGGACACAAGTGAAAAATATCACCCATTTTCACTTCAAAAAGGCAACATACCTACATTAACTACAATTAATGGTCTCAGCACCAATGGTATGGGTTTCAGCCCCCATGCGCAATATGCAACAAATGTGCATGTTTTGGTAAAGTGTGTTGAATGCAACAGACTACAGGTACTCTATTTACAACACTGTTTAAAGCCAGAGGAAGAAAATCTTCTCAAAAACTTTATAGAAACAATTGATTACATGCGTGGTACAACGTTCTATGGAATTTCAGATCTCACAAAACCATCAGTTTTAAATAATAATAATCAGACAATAGATATTAGTGATAATAACAATAATCAAACAATAAATATTGATAATAATAACGATAATCCAACAATAGATATTGTTACTAATGATGAAAGTGACAATGATACTAATAGTATGGGAGATAGTGTTGATGAATCGTCTGTGGAACAAGATAAGGTGTCTTTAGAAATATTGTTTAAGCATGTCTTTGTGAATACCTGATAAGTAAATAAAGATCTGATATCGATTTATGGATTGGCTGATCACTGTTGTAATGGTTGAATGGGGGAGTGACGCATAATGAATGCGCAGTGTAGCTCCAACTGCTACTACAGATTGGATTGATGAAACAAGGCTTCTAAGGGCA